AGTTATATTTATATTACTATATAAATATATACTCTCTCTTACACCACTGTATATTTGTGTCCTAAAACCCAATATCAAATCACACCTCATTGTCAACAAATATGTACATTTTATGTACTTCGATTTTAGTAATTAATCTTGTTGTAAGGGGGGATATAAAGTTTTAATCAGGATTTGAATGCCCGTTAAACAGCGATAAGTACTTTCCCGAAGCGGATGATGCTGGTATTAGCCTCCGGTCGGATTTGTTGACTGTGAATAAGAGCTTCTCGGTGCTTCCCGGTTACACGCGCCAGACGCGCGCTGCGGAGCGACGCTCCCGCGGGACTGAACCACGTGGCAGCCGCGGCCACGTGACGTCAGAACCAGATGGCATGGGTACCAGCTCTGGCAGTTGGCATCGGTGTCATTTCTCAAAAGAGAGAAAGAAAGCGGCAGCGAAAGAGAAGATCAGAGCATCGCCGTGACATGTCCAATGCCGAGCAAGAAATAGGCTTGCGCTCAATTTAAATGGGAATGGAAAAACAACTCTAAATGTTGCTACGAAATCTAGGTAAGAATAATCACCAGGGGATATTAATTTATTATCGGAAATCATGTGGCTAGGTTAGCGCTTTCTGAGAAAATATTCTTAGCCTTATTGAAATCCGTGCTTTTATCGCTTGTGGTATTACGTGTTAGTTATCTAAAAAGTCAGTCAGATCGTTCACATTCGGTATGTGGTGTAATTTATTTTTATTACACTTTCAAATAATCATTGATTATTCCCGGGTCAGACATATTATCTTTGGTTTATGTTGTTTCAGATAAGGCATTTTCTTGATAATAGTTCATTTCGAGTTTTAATAATAATATTTGGTAACTGTTGCATAATCACATTGCAGATCATTTTTGTCATTTAAACTGCCTTTTTACAGTTCTGCACGGCGATTTTCAGCGGGTAGGATCTGCGACAGGATTGCTCTGACTTTGCGTTATTCCCGTCTCTGGTAGGGCAATGCCGACCTTACCCTACGAAGAGCCAGCAATGATGCCAGAGACCCAATTTGGCACCTTCCCGCGAGACTGTGTCGCTGAAATCAGGGTCAGGAAACAGGACCCCTTTCCGAAAATTGAAACGTCACCGATTTCCAACCCGGAGGCAGAAAGGAAGCCCCAGGAGGAAGAGTCGGAGAAGGACGACGATGAAAGCGAGGAAGGCCAAGACGAGAACGGGCAGCCCAGGCGCAGAGGACCAAGGAAAAAGAAGATGACCAAAGCGCGAATCGACAGGGTTAAACTGCGACGCATGGAAGCCAACGCCAGAGAGAGGAACAGGATGCATGGGCTAAACAACGCACTGGACAGCCTCCGAAAGGTGGTGCCCTGCTACTCCAAAACGCAGAAACTGTCCAAAATAGAGACGTTGCGCCTGGCGAAGAACTACATCTGGGCGCTGTCGGAAGTCCTCAGCACCGGCAAGAGACCCGACCTGTTGACCTTCGTGCAAACTCTGTGCAAAGGCTTGTCCCAGCCCACCACCAACTTGGTAGCCGGCTGCCTCCAGCTTAACGCCAGGAACTTCATCGCGGATCACAACGGGGATGCGTCTCTGTGCGGCAGATCTCCGTACGACGCGCTGTACCCACCTTACCACAGCCCCGATGTCGGCACGCCCACCGGGCACGGCGGCCCCAGCGCGGACAGCTCTAAGGCCTTCAGATCATACAGTTACTGCAGTGCCTACGAGTCCTTCTACGAGAGCACGTCCCCCGAATGCACCAGTCCCCAGTTTGATGGTCCCCACAGCCCGCCCATGAACTTTAACGGGATATTTTCCCTTAAACACGAAGATCCTGGTGAGTATGGCAAGAGTTGCCACTACGGCATGCGCTACTGCGCGGTGCCCGCCAGAGGTGCCCTGGGCCAAAACTCCACGTTTAGAGGGTCCTGCGACATCCATTTCCCGTATGATATACACCTACGCGGCCAGGCCTTCTCCACCCAAGAGGAGCTAAGCACGACTTTTCACAATTGATGAGGAAAAAGCAAATCGCGGTCCCCTTTCGCCCTCTAATGACAAAAAACGGACTCCACGTAGACGTTTATTAATACAAACATATTGTACTTTATATGACAGCTAGTTGCAAGTCATTTCACATTAATGTGTTTTAATAATGGGGACATATTCGGTGAGCACACAAGAAACAAGAAAATATCAAACCACCGGCTTTTATTTCTTGAAACAAGATGAACTGAATTCAACAGAAAAGTGCTTTTTGTTTCGCTTAAATTGGGTTGAAATGTAAGAAGTACGTGTTGCCCTTGTTAAAATTATACAATTATACAGCATACATTTTGGCCAAACTGAAATAAATCACAATATATAGCTAATTTGCTACGGTGACAACAGCGATACAGTGTTTCATAATTATTAACTGCTGCTGTCCGGGGCTCATTTTTATGTGTTACGAGTAATCTGGTGTAATAAATACAAAAGCAATAAAGGGAAAACGAACTATGCAATAAAAATCGTATTTGCCCTTAAAATACCATTGTTGAAATCGAATAAAAGTAGGCCTACGTATTAATCGTATTAAGGAGTCATGGTGGTTTGCCTGACAAATTTGTTTTATAAATTAGAAACTAATTTTTAATTAAGTTTTAAACTCCACCGGATGACAAAGAAAAGTTATTTTAACCGTACATTTCAGTTTATGAAAAAGTGTAATACATGATAAATACAGATTTTGTCTGCAGTCTTGAGTATTTCACTATAGAATGAATGGAGGATAATTAGTGGAGTGAGTTCGATTATTCACGTCGGCTTCCGTGTAACATACGTGTGTCTATAAATTCCGAATGGTTACTGAGATTTGCTGAGCTATTCTAATTTTCCCGATTATGTGTGAATGGAAGTTCATAGTAGGCTATATATTTGTCGAGGTTTATTAACATCACCCAGCCAGTCAGACACAGAGTGGTCGCGTGCGGTGGAACGCCTAAAAAGAGGGTCTTCACACGAGTGCACATGCGGTGACGTCATTAGCGCTTTATGGAAATGGACACGCGGACGTCAATTTATTGGACCCGTCAATTAAAGTGTTTAAACAAAACACTACAGTTTACATGTAAATATAATTTGTTTGGAATGTGGGTTTTGTGGCAATGTATTATGCAGATGTAATGTTTTGTTTAACCATGAGTTAATTTTTTTGTCATTATTATGTTGTTATTATTTTGTTATTATTACCTTCTCACAAATGTACAGTTGTTATTCGTGTTGAGGTCTTGTACCTATGGTGGTTCAAAATCATATTTACAAGCCTAGCTAAATGTACATTGTAGGAATGAAACCTGTAGAATATTCTCGGTGGAAATGATTGTATTCAAGTGTCTTATCATTTTAAGAGCGTGGAGATTCTCTGCCTTAATTTCAATGAAACCTTTGGCACGTGTCAGTTATGCAATGGCATGGATGTCCTGAGTTGTGGCTTTGTACAAATTTTATGTTTCTATTTGATATCTTAAGACGAAGAGTTTTGTTAAAGACGAAAATTCGTCATGCACTAAACTGTTATTCTACATATTTGTAATCGACAATGACGTCGTTTTGTACAGCAAACTGAAAATAAAACTATAAAACGAAACCTTTCGATTTCGATGTTTTAAAGGTGATATTTATGCGCCTCATTAGTGAAGATATAAAAAAATTGCTTTATGCTACACAGCATATCAGATTTAGAGTAGTAAGATAGGAAAACATTTTTTTTTTTCAATTAATTTTAACAAATTGTATTTTCATTTTATACAATTCAGATAACTGCAGTCTGCAGTTACATGGTCCACAGCTCTTTAGATTACAAACCACATTTTTGTATAATACACATTAAATAGGCAGTTTTAAATAGGCCTACCAGTACTGGTTATTATAATTAATTTCAGTTACATGTATATATACAGATATGCACAGTACATTTTTTGTGCATTGAGATCATAAAAATATAACAAAAATGTATAAACATTTCTTTTTATAATTTATCATTGAGTATTCTTTATAAATTGGGTTGTTTTATGTGATTTTTGCAGGTACTCAACGGGTAATTATTCTTTTTAAATTGTGCATATAACAAACTATGTGTAAATTATCGGTTGCGAAAGTCACTGCAAAAAATTTTCGGGGCCTAGTTTAGGGTCCTGAGAGAAGCATATCGGTGTCATATAAGCTTCACACCAGAGGAGCTAAGAAATACTTATTACGAAAATTACACTTGTTTTTTTTTACCCGACTAAACTTTACAAATAGTATCAAACACTACAGCGACCGCTCAAACAAAGCAATATACTTGATGACCCATTTTAAATGTCTATTTTCGTTAGAGTTCCATATAAACGAATATATGACGCTATATCTCCAGTTATTTTATCTGCCTTTTTGCGTCAAACACAATTATTCATGTTTAATCTGTTGCTATTCATACATGAAATTACTTGTTGCTGGATATCTTAGTTCAGCCTATTCGTAATGTGGAGTTTCGGTTATCCACAAGTATAAATGTTTTATCAAAGCAACTATAAAAACCGTCGGAACTGTACCATCCCATACTTTAGACTATTTAAATCAGAGTAGCTTCAATATGAAACACTTGAATCATTCGAACCTCAGGGACAAATTAAAGAGGGTGCAGTAAGTAACCATATATGTCTAATAAATATCAGCACTTCGACCTGTTTGACTGAATTGCTGCGTTTTAAATAAACCGCCTTCGGGTGAAAGAACAGCATATTGTATATTGAATAACTCTTTGTGAGCGACCGAGGTCAGCGATGTGTCAAAAGTAAAAAACAGAAGTTGCCTCCTGAGAGCCAAAAGTAGCTTGGGAGTTGGACGCCGGCCAGGCAGCGACAGACTGCGGATGCGAGAATGAGCCCGGCCTCTCGGTAATCCCCATGCGACTGTGCACCAGTATCTCCAGAGAAGAGCATGACAGCAAGCGAAAGCAAGGTATCGGACGACTTACCTCACGACGAACTGCACCGATCAGGGGACTTCGCGTCACGCCACGGTGCACCCAGCCGACGTGGGTGGTTTTTACTGCGCTCTTTGTCTTATGGCGCATGACCAGTGAGACCGCTTTTTGGCCATTACCCAACTTATATTATTTAAAGAACTACATTTCTAGGTGTTCTGTAGAGACACACGCATGCCACACTACATACTTTAAGAATACTGAGATTATATGAATGAATTAATGAATGAATGAATGAATGAGTTAATTAATGAATGAATGAATGAAATATTTGGGCCAGGACTATAATCGATTTAACATGGGTTCATACATTTTTTTCTCGTTTGCCTCGGCGCCAGTTTCACAGCAAATTAGTATGTCGAGTCAAGCGCGGCCTAACCGGCGTCTCAGAATGACTGATTATTTACCGATTTCGGTCATTATTCGCCGAATCTGTAGCTACTATATAGTTACAGCCGGATCGCAGCCACTCTGTGGCCCTTCACGGTACCTATATGTGAACAGTAATAATCATTTTTGTAGTCGGATATAAATATTAAGTTAATTTTATACGCAAGTCGGAGTTAACAGGTAGAAGTAAGGGAAATCAACTCACCTAATAATAGCATTATTATTATTATTATTATTATTATTATGATTATTGACGATTAATAATAATAATAATAATAATAATAAGATAATAATAACAATTATTATTATTAACAGCAACGATAATAATAACAACAATAATAATTTGATTTTACTGTTGCTACTATACGACTACTATAATAATAATAATAATAATTATCATTATTATTATTATTATTATTATTATTATTATTATTATTATTATTATTGTTACATATAGACTATTAAATATATTTATCAACTGTGACACCCAACAGAAAACATATTTTATTTTAAACCGGTCTGTAACAAAACCCCAAACCATGACCCATCTGTCAAGCACTAATTAAAAAGAAAACAGTGTGGCACGTGCCTATTTAAAGACTTGGCAGGCACCGCGCGACTGCTGGAAATCAGCCACTGTTCGCCAGTGGGTTCAGCATTCTTCAATGGCAGGTTGGATCTCTTTAATTCTGCCCCGTTTCGAGGTTATTACTTATGAAACTATAGGGGGGAGACATACAGTTTCACAACCATAGTAAATACGCCCACTGTGCCAAGAAACTATGCGAAAAATTGATTAATCTGTCCTAAGCGAGTAATTTGCTTTATTGCTGCACATTTGTTTTCATGCGCTAAAATTACAGTTTCTATGGACCTTTTTAATGAATGAAATGGGCTAACATTGAATTAAAAAACATTCTGTTCAATGCAGATTAAATAAATCCCGCTCTTTATGAATCAGCTATAGGTAGGATTTCTTCCAGAAGTGACTGAAGGTTGACAAACCCCGTCTGTAATTACCCACACGTTACCCGGAAGAAGGGCAGTAATATGTCTCCCGAACCATCTAAGTGCTGCAAATCATCACCGGAAATTGCCGCTGTAGTCAAGAAGAAACTGCGCCCCCGCGCCACATTTACAATCATTGGCTTGATTAATAAGCTACCTCAAAGTTTACCGTAACAGGTCTTGTAATGCATTAATTACGGGGAAATATTTCATACGTTTCATTAATAAATTAAGCCTACGGGAGAATGTCTCATAATGCCATGATTAATATATCCTATTTGCACACTTCTCTTGAAATAATCTTATAGGTTGATCTATTAAGAAATAAGATAATTGGCCTATACATTAGGATATGCTAAAGTCATCCAATATTTTATCAGACGTTTATTAAACCATTCTAGAGCAATTTACCATTTTTTAATTTACCAGGTATTGTTAAAATAGCGTCTGTTTAAACGCTTTACACCAGCTCATATTGTTGAAAAGGAGTGCTTCTTAACCCGTAATTTATTTTCTGCGTTTTAGACCGTTTTAAATCAATTTCGGTTATGAATATTGTCCAAAAAGCAGTCGGTTTGTTTGTCGTAGGCCTACTTATTGAGCGCCAGTTCCCTGAAATTTTGCTTCAGCAATATATCCATCCATCCATCTTCCGTACCCGCTTGTCCTTTGCAGCGTCGATGAGGTCCGGAGCAAACAGCAAGGCAGGGAATAAAACCTCACTTAAAGGACAACCCAGTGCAGTAAGTAAAAATGGCAAACTTTATAAATCGGTCGCAGGTAAATATTATAAGCCATGGAAGTTAATTTGAGGAAAAGCATCTCTGCGGCAACAGAATATTATTACTAGGAGACTAAAATTTCCGTTAGGTGATGGTGTCGATTTCCTATGCAGATCAGACTTCTGTGGGTTGTAGACCTATCTTAAAAATCAAACGTGCCACTGAAAAGGAAACTAACAATGTCTTTCTTATTTAATGTGAATGCTGCAAATATGATCTTTTCATGTTTTAACGTTATTTTTCACGTTCTCTTTCGGCCAAAAAACTTATGCAGTACGCTGGTATTCGATACTCAGTTGGGCCTGGGCTTTACATAGGCTACACTTGTGCGGGTCCTGAGTTCACTTGTGCGGAGTTACACACTATCCAAGCAACTAAGTGCAAGCAATGTTATAACGTTAAAATAAACTCCCTCCTAAAGATCGAGCTATGTTTACAACAACTGATTGTTATTATTACTGTTATATATTGCTCAGAGCCTCTTCTAGTGAATCTATACAGGTAGACTAGATATCTACTGAGACTTTTCTCACAGAAGAACCTTTCTCAGTTTTGCCTGGTGCTATTGATTTCAAAGCAGGCTGCTAGACCTAAACATCACTGTCTGCCTGACATCTACTGCTATGCTTACCAAACATCAGGTTCACCAGGTACCAAAGGGCTTATGCTGTAATATGCGGAAGAAGATTCGGTCACATGCTCTTTCTGCATTTCTTAATCACAGAAGCACCTGGGTGTTCAACTCAATTTCGGCAGAGTTAAACCACCTCAGAGATGGATCCAAACGCACCAGGATCTAACACTCACTCTGAGCTGGGCCACTTTCAGTGTGACATGGACACCTGGGTATCTTGGATACAAATAGTCCCGTCGCTGATAAATTCCTGCTAATTAAAAGTGAAAAACATCCTGCCCCTGTGATGCCGATTAGTCTGGTCACATGACCAAATGCACCCCCTCCCCCGGATTTTTTTTTTTCGTGCTACTCACTTCCCCAAAACTCTACCCACAGTCTTGCCACCACAGATGGTCTGGGAGACAGAATTCTCCCCATTAAATTCCTAATAATCTTTTTTTTTTCCATGAGTAGGCAAGCGGTGAAGTTGGGGGGGGTGGGTGGCATCCTTTTAATT